CACTTGGTAGCCCAGGCTGGCCTCGAACTCACAAAGATCCGCCTGCCTCTGCCTCCCGAGTGCTGGGATTAAAGGCGTGCGCCACCACCGCCCGGCAAGTACACTGGATATTTATAACAAATTATGGTCCTTCAACCTCTTTGAGATCTGCTGTATATGACATTTAAAATGTTTAAGCTCTCTCTAGTGAACTATGACCATGCCTAATAGCAACCTTTGAAGTCTCCAAAAGGAGGGTGGGGCCCCATAACGATGATTCCACCTGGACTATGGTGACAACACTAAGCATACAAACACCACCTGAAGATCAGCTTTGGATTACAAACTGCTCAGGACAATTTCAAGGTGGCTGACTGAGATGATCCAGCATCACAGACTCCTCTAGCCAGGACTTGAGACAAGCCCTGCACTTTCCCATTACACAGAGACTGGACAACAAATGGTACAGCTTGCTCTCCCAAGACTTGACAATTATCCTAATTTTTTTCAGGGTCCCCTAAAGATACTGTCTCTCCCAGACAGCAGGAAGTAATTTAAAGAACATGAAGCCCACATTCCCAAGAGGAGGGGTGGGCAGTTTTTTTTTTTTTTGTTTTTGTTTTTGTTTTTGGTCGTTCAGTGGGTTATGGATATTTGTCATCGTTTAGGGGAGTTGGTTACAAGTTGTTATTGGTACAGGTCAGGAAAAAGCTGAACAAAGGAGATTAGATTCAGGGATCTCATTCTAAAAAGAAAAAGGGGGGATACAGAAATAGGATAAAAAGGGTAGATTGCTGAATCTACTTCTAGTAGTTGCTACTAGTTTTAAATATTTTACATTGGCTTGGATTTTTGTATATTGATACAAATTTGGGGTAAATTTTTGTTATACTGTATATGTGTCACAGAAATGATAGGATAAAAAGGTAAATTATTACACAGAGAAACCCTGTCCTGAAAAAAAAAAACAAAGATAGATTATTGAATCTACTTTTAAAAAAGCAACTACTAGTTTTAAATATTTTACAGTGATATGGATTTTTGTATATTGACACAAATTTAAGATTATTTTGGTTAGAACATACTGTACATGTGTTTCTACTCTTGTTCAAAGTATTGTACCTATACAGCTCATCTAACAATGTAATGTAAATTTCATGCATCCCTACAATCTTACTTGGAAGGGGCTGAGGTAGGAGATATATCTGAGTTCACGGCTGGAATTGACTATTTGCTAGAGCCTTTCTCAAAAATAAGTAAACAAGGCCCGTGAGATGACTCAGTGGGTAAACGTGCCTGCCATACAAACCTGGTACCCTGAGCTAGTTCTAGGCTACCCTGGGCTAGCACTAGCTGAGCAGACCTAAAGACCTGAGTTTGATATAACAAGGTTGATGCAGTAGTGCACATGTGTAACCCCGACATTCTTCCGGTGATGGGCGAGAGACAGGGGAACTGCCGAGAAGCTCTGGGTCAGCAGCTGTCCTGGACACAGCACAGTAGCGGAAACAAGAGATACCCTGTCTCAAACAGTGTGCAAGGGGAGAACTGACTCCTGAAAGATGTCTGCTGACCTCTACACACTCGCCATGGCACTCATGCCTGCACGCGCGCGCGCGCGCGCGCACACACACACACACACACACACACACACACACACGTAAATTTTAAAGCCACCAAAGGGGCTGGAGAGACAGTTCAGAGGTTGAATGCTGGCTTTCTTACACAGGATCTGGGTTTGATTTCCAGCACCCACATGGCAGCTCACAACCATTTGTAACTCCGGTCCCAGAGGATCTGATGACCTCTTCTGGACTCCATAGGCATTGTGTGAATGGGATGCACAGACATACATGTAAATGAAACACTCATACACATAAAAAGAATATTTTAAAACCTTTTAAGCCTGGCAGTGGTGGTGCACACCTTTAGTCCCAGCACTCGGGAGGCAGAGACAGGCGGATCTCTGTGAGTTCGAGGCCAGAGCGAGATCCAGGAAAGGCTCCAAAAACTACACAGAGAAACCCTGTCTTGAAAAAAACAAAAAATAAAAATAAATAAATAATAAGAATAAAACTACCAAAATACTGTTAATAGGGAAAACATCAAAGGTCTTAAAATCAACTTGTAAGACAAGACTCGATATCTATAGAGAAGAGCACACTGTGAACGACTGGCAGTACTTACCGCAGCGCCAAACTTCTGCTGGAACTGACCAATGACTGTGTATGTCACCTCCTCTTCCTCTACAAGAGAAGGGTGGCACTGAATGTCTCTCTCTTCTGACAAGAGAATGGCCCTCTGGCTAATTTTAGACATACTCCTTATCACCTGTTCAGTCCTCACACATCAAACATGGTGGGTACTAGTTACTATCCTGTTTTGTCAACCAAGAGTAAACCAGGGTCCTACCAAGGATAATCTTACAAACTGAATGGTCTATCATTCCTGTCACAATCCAGTACTGATTCTCTCTTCTAGGTTTACATACCGAGTATACACCAAGGCCTTCCTGTAGGGATTAATCTATTATTATGTATGTATGTGTGTGGTGTGTTGGGTGTGTGTGCACATGCTCACATGAATGTGGAGGTCATAAAACAACTTTGTAGATTGGGTTCTCCCTTCTACCTTTATGAGGGTTCTGGGGATTGAATGCAAACTATCCAGCAAGCACCTTTACCCACTGACACATCCTGCCTGCCCAAGTCAAGCACTTTAAAAAGATATTTCATAACAAAAAGTAACAGTTTAAAATAAATGAGTCCTGGAAAAGGAATAATACCCACCCACACTGTTGGAGTTTTAAAGTCTTATTATTATTATTATTATTATTATTATTATTATTATTCTGTCTTTTTTGAGATAGGGTCTCACACAGTCCAGGCTAGCCTTGAACTCATTAAGTAGCTGAGGATGCCCTTGAACTTCTGATCTTCCTGCCTCTACTTCCACAGTTTACCCATCTGATGACAATGGGAATGAAACCCAGGTCATTGTTAACATGACTAAAGTATCTTATCCTGAATTACATCCCTAGACCCTACCTTAAGAGTTATTTTTTGGTGGCTGCCTTGGTTATGGTTACTATTCTACTGCTGGGAAGAGACACCATGACCAACCAAACTCTCATAAAAGGAAGCATTTAAGTGGAGGCTTGTTTACAGTTTCAGAGTGCTCGTCCATTATCATCACGGCAGGGCACAAGACAGTAAGCCTGGAGCTGGAGCAGGAGCTGAGAGTTCCACATTCTGATCCACAGGCAGCGGGCAGAGACAGTGGGCCTGGTGCTGGGCTTCTGAAACAGTAACGCCCACCCGGGACACACCTCCAACAAGGCCACACCTCCTAATCGGTCCAACAGTTCATCCCCTGGGACTAAGTACACAAATACAGAAGCTACTGGGGCATTCCCATTCAAACTGGCACAGTTACTGAACGGTTAAGGGTTTTTGATTATTTCCCAATCTCTGTAGTGCCACAGGATAATCCTCCTCTTCTTTTGCATTTATACACGCTCTCTTTGGTGACTTCAGCTGGTCTCAAGGTTTTAAAAACTGTCAATTGGTTGATTCCTGAAGCTCTCTCTCCATATGAGACTTCTCATCTCTAGGCTACATTTTCTATTTTGGGGACAGGGCTTCACTATGTAGCCCATGCTGTCCTCCACTTACAATCTTCCCAGCAATATATAACCTGAGGGCCAGCATCCCTGGCCTTTATTCAAACTTAAATTGACCAAAACTGAATGTTACAGTTGGTTTTAATGTAAACTTGCCACAATAGCCAGGCAGTGGTGATGAATGCCTTTAATCCCAGCACTCGAGAGGCAGAGGCAGGCGGATCTCTGAGTTCGAGGCCAGCATGGTCTACAGAGTGAGTTCCAGGAAAGGCTCCAAAGCCAAAAAAGAAACCTGGTCTCAGGGGGGAAAAATTGCCACAAATTAGAATAACCTGAGTAGGGCATCTTACCAAACAATGGTCCTTATTGCCTTGACTGACGGGGGAAGGTCCACCCAATTGTGGGTGGATCTTCTGGTAGCAGTCCAGATAAAAGCAAATGTCAGAAAAGAGAGTAATTTGATCTTTTGCTGGCTTGGTCTTCCTCCTGCTGCCGAGTTAATCTACTCTGCTGCTGCTGCTTCCTTCACTGATATCAGAACCAGCATTTCCAAGCTTTCATTATGGACTAGGGCACCACAGGCTTTCCAGGAACCTTAGGGGCTTCTGCATCAGATTGGGACTACTGAGGCACCCTGCCCTGTGTAACTAACAGCTGTTTGCCCCTAACCAGGGAGACACAGCTATTCTGGAACTACTCCAACTGCGGAAGCATTTAGCCTCAAGGAACTAGTAACTACCGGATTCTTAGCTTTTCAGGTGTGACTTATCTGTTGTTACTGACTTAAGAAATTCATCATCATCTCTGTGTCTCTCTCTCTCTGTGTCTCTCTCTCTCTCTCTCTCTCTCTCTCTCTCTCTCTCTCTCTCTCTCTCTCTCTCTCATTTTACTAATTCTGTTCCTCTAAAGAACTCTGTCTAATTCACTGAACTTCTGTTCAGGTCTCCAAAACCTTTTCTGCATGAAGTTCTTCTCATCTTAGTTTACATAACTCTCTTCATACTTGCAGATGCTAAGGTTCAAACCCCTAAAATCATCTTTGATTCCACGTTATCCTTGCACACCCCTATCTATCTAATTTGTCAGGATATTCCGCCCCACCTTCAACACACATCTAGAAGTACAGTGCTTCCTACCTACTCTACTGCTTCCACTGGAGTCGAGGGCACTGTCCTGAGTGGTTTCCAATATTTCAAGCCAATGAGATGGTTCATTGTGTAGGCACTTACTGCAGAGCCGGACAGCCTGAGTTCAATACAAGATGCACATGGCAGAAGGAGAGAAACCCTTCCTTCAAGGTGACTCTCTACCACCACATGCATGTCATGACACACATATATCCCCACACACAAATAAATGTAATGGAAAATTTAAAACATAAGCTGTGCAGTGGTGGTGGTGGTGCACGCTTTTAATCCCAGCACCTGGGAAGCAGAGGCAAGCGGAGCTCTGTGAGTTTGAGGCCAGCCTGATCTATAAAGTTCCAGGACAGCCAGGACTACATAAAAAAATCCTGTTTCAAAAACACTAATATATATAATTAATATATAATATATATATATATAATTAAACTATATATATTAAACTCAATATATATCATTGTGAAGGAAGATCAGGCATGGTGGTCCTTATTTGTTATCTTAAGACTTAGAAGACTGGCAGGAGATTGCCTTGAGTTCCAGGTTATCATGGACAGTGTGAGATAGAATAATGAAAAACAAAGAATTATAATTTCTTCCCAAAGCTGTCTAGATGTGTTTGTGTCGTTGGTTGGTTGGTTTTTTGAAAAAGGGTCTCTGTAGCCCTGGCTGGCCTCAGTCTCTTAGTAATGGGATTAAAGGTATATACCACAAAAACTAATTTTGTTTTTTATTTTTTTGTTTTTTGAGGCAAGGTTTCTCTGTGTGGCTTTGGAGCCTTTCCTGGCTCTCACTCTGTAGCCCAGGCTGGCCTCAAACTCACAGAGATTCGCCTGCCTCTGCCTGGGATTAAAGGCATGCACCACGACCTCCTGGTTACTTTTTTTTTTTTTTAATGAAAAACCAAAACCCAAAAGCTCTTCATTACTTTGCTTCCTTTCTCTCTTCAGAGTCCTACGCCCCTTTAATGGTCTATAAATTTTTCAGTGACCCATCAATCCACCTCATCACTTATTCCTTCTTCTTCTGCTCCATATATAATGATTTCCTCGCTGTTGCTTCGATATCTTGGCATGTCCTACCTCTAGAGCCTTTACGTTTTTCTTTTCTAAGTTTAACTACATCTCTCAGCATGTGCTGTATCTCATGCCTATAATCTCAGTCTCATAAGGGCCAAGGAAAGATTGTTGACGAGTTTGAGGCTAGCCTGCTAGCTACAGAATGAATCCTGGGCTATAGGAGTGAGACCCTATCACAAAACAACAAAAACTAACCAATTTAAAAACTGGGCGTGGTGGCAGGTGGATCTGAGTTCAAGGCCAGCCTGGTCTACATAGTGAGTTCCAGGACATCCAGAGCTACACAGAGAAACCCTGTTTGAAAACAAGAGCCTGGAGTGGTGGCGCTTGTTTTTAATCCTACCATTTGGGAAACTGATGCCAACCTGGGTTCATAAGGAGTACCACAGCAGCCAGGGCTATCTAATACTAGACTGCGGCTCAAAACAAAGAACAAAGGGAGGCATTTCTCATGACATCCAAACAGCTCAGTGCCTCCCTCCTTTAGGCCTTTATGCTAACATTACTACTTCAGTATGACCTGCCCTGGACATGTGAAGCTTACTGTCCTGCTATTCTCAGCATGTGGTAATAGAGTACTAGCATTCTATATATTTTACTCATTTTTTCTTTTTTGAAACAGGGTCTCATATACCCTAGGTTGTCCTCAAACTTGCTAATGTAGCCAATTCTATCCTTGAACTCTTGATCCTCTTCTACCTCTTAGTGGTGGGGTTACAGGTGCAGTATGGCACATATTTCCTATTCATTCATTTTATTTAGCACCTTTTGTATCAGAGCTCAGTGAGGGCAGCATCCCCAATCCTGGCACACAGTATGCATTCCCATGTCAACTAAACACATAATTTATAATACTTACCTTAATTCACAATTTTACTGTGAGGCACAATAAAAAAAAAAAAAAAGAGCCTAGCAAATTCAGAGGTCCAGCACTCACCCGATGGGCAGTATTTGAGGTCACTGAGTAAGGAGCTGGTGGGTGCCTCTGGTGCAGGTGAAGCAGGTTCACATACAGTTAGGTCTTCGTCTTTCATTTTCTCCATTCCAGCTCTTTCTGTATTTATGCTATCCTTACAAAAAACCATATTCAGATGAACTTGTCCTTTGTTACCGATGCCATGGACAGATCTCCCTACTCGTTAACAGCAAAGACTGCAGCCCATTTCTACACTGCTCACATCCACTGCCTGCAGCGCCATCTAGAGACAGACACACTGACCTGCTTGTTTTTAGTTCCTTAGACCATTTGAGAAGTAAGCAGCTAGTGGACTAGAGTTAAGTCTGTCTCCTCTACTGTGCTCACTTGGAAAACCTCACAGTGAAGAAACTGTCTCGTAATACCTAACAGAAGATGCCTTTTCTCCGGATGCACCTTGTTCTGCTTCATCCATTAGTTCCACTGAAAAACAACCAGAAGATTTTCAACAGTTTCCAGCGGAAAGCCACCAGCCACCCCACCCCACACACCGTGCTCGATTGCAGACTATAAATGGGTGGAAAGCAGAAAAAAACAAGTTCATGTATACAGCACTAAAGACAAGATAAATCCTATTTTCTTTCAAATGCCTGAATGAGGCAGAGAAGTAAGTTTTCTATGGCAGATTCCAACTAGTGATTAGGGAACATAAAACTTACCATTCAAAATCTCATGCCCAAAAAACATTTTCACTCCTGGGACACTCCGGCCTGTCTCTACGTTCTTCACTGTGATAGAAAAGAATCTTCACAGATATAAAACTGTGTCTGGTTAATAACACATACTATTTCCCCCAAAACTGCAAGAAACTGTGAACTCTCTTAAAATTACTGAAATACAAGTTTTATATAAAAATCCCTTCTTCCTCAGTTGTGGAGATGGCTCAGCAGTTAAGAGCACTTAAGTTCAATTCCCAGCACCCACATGGTAGCTCACAACCATCTGTAATGAGATCTGGTGCCCTCTTCTTGCCTACAGGCACACATGCAGACAAAACACTGTATATTTAATAAATAAATAATCTTTTTTTTAAAAAATCCTGCAAAGTGGTGGTGGGCACACAACTTTAATCCCAGCACTCGGGAGACAGATCTCTGTGAGATTGGGGCCAACCTGGTCTATATAGCAAGTTCCAGACCAGCCAAGGCTATATAATGAGACTCTGCCAAAAGGAAAAAAAAAGAAAAAAAGAAAAAAAAAAAGAAACTAAAAAGAAAAAAAAAATCCCAATTGCTGGTATTAAAGACATGGGCCAGCCCAGCAGTGGTGGCCCATGTCTTTAATCCCAGGACTCAGGAGGCAAAGTCAGGCAGATCTGAGAGTTGAGGCTGACCTAGTCTAAAGACAGGCTAAAGCTACACACACACACACAACCCCCACCCCCTGCAAAACAACAAGAAAGACATGTGCCACTACACCTGTCCTGTGTGGGGTGAGGGTCTGAACCTCGGGCTTTCTGTGTGTTAGCCAAGAACTCAACCAACTGAGCTACATCCCCAGCCCTGGTTTGGGCTTTTGACACAGGTTCTCATGTATTCCAGGCTGGCTTCAAACTCATTATGTAGTTGAGACTGGCCCTGAACTCCTGACTTCTGGACTTCTTTTTGTCTGAGACAAATTAATTCTTTACACCTGTGATTTTTTTCCCCCTCTGTTGAAGCCAAAAGCAATTTCAATAACAAGATTGATTTCAATATTCATGTCAACAATAATTAACAGAAGTTCCCAAATTTTAGAAGTATATATTGAAAACTACCACCCTCAGGGCTGGAGAGATGGCTCAGCAGTTCAGAGCACTGACTGCTCTTCCAGAGGACCAGGGTTTGATTCCCAGCACCCATGTTAACAATTCACAACCATCTGTGACTTCAGGGGGTCCTATGTCTTCTTCTGGCCTCGGAGGGCACCAGGCATGCATGTGGCACACAGACATACATGCAGACAAAACACTCACATTCATTAAGTAAATAATAAAAAAGAAAATTTCCACTGTAATGTCAGTGAGAGTACACAAGTGAGGACCACCCAACACAGGCAGCCATGTTGCTCTGCTCGGGAATAGTATTCTAATATTTTTCTCATACCTTTCTTAAAATAGGAACAACACTGCTTTCCCAGCTACTAATGCTGCCCACAATCACCACCCACACGCAGCTGCTAATCTCTTAAGAAGGCAGAAGAAAATGACAAATAGAACCCAACCATTTTTTAGGACAACAATCTTGTTAGGATCCACATGCTGGAGCACGCCCTCGAAGATGCCAGAAACCAAGGTGAGTTTCACTCTTCTCCACAAAATGTGGTTGAGGAAATGGTAGTCACTGCTGGGATCCATGCTCTGTGATTCCAAAAGCAGACTTCAAAGAATCTTCGTCAAGCATCCAAACACTTAAAAATTAACAAAGAGACCATTATTTTGAAAAGACTATTTTGATCTGGGTATGGTGGTGCACATCTTTCATCCAGAAGACCGAGGTGAGGGTGGTCTCTGACTACAACAGCTTGGTCTACACTGTAAGTTTCAGGCAAGTCAGGAACACCCTGTCTCAAAAATTTCAAAAGTTTGGTTATTTACCATTTCTCCAAATCTTTGGTTTTTTTGGGGGGGGGGGGGGGGGAGCAGGTTTTCTCTGTATAACAGTCCTGGCTGTCCTGTAAATTCCCTTTGTAGACCAGGCTGGTCTCAAACTCACAGAGATCCACCTGCCTCTGCCTCCCAGGTGTGCATTCAAGGTGTGCACCACCACCAACACCACCACCTGGTGGTGCATTTCTCTAAATTTCTAAGGCAGTGGTTCTCAACCTGTGAGTTGTGGCCCCTTTGGGTGGGGGGGGGGTTATTAAAAGACCCTTTTACAGGGGCTGAATATCAGATATTTTACATATCATATATTTACATTACGATTCATAACAGTAACAAAATTAGTTATGAAGTAGCAACAAAATAAAATTATGGTTGGGGGTCACCACAACATGAGGACCTGTATTAAAGGGTCACAGCATTAGGAAGGTTGAGAACCACTGCTCTAAGGGATAAGAAGAGTAGTTTGGTTTTGTTCCTTATTTTAGAATACTAAGAAGAACCACAGCAAGTACAATTTTATTTATTTTTATTTTATGTGTACAGTTGTTTTGCTTCCATGTATGTCTCTGCACATTAGTTTAGTACCCGAGGAAGCCAGAAGAGGGCACCAGATCCCCTGAAACTGGAGTTGCTGATGGTTGCTGGGAACTAAAGCTGTGTCCTCTGAAAGAGATCTTAAGCACTGATCTCTCCAGCCCCACAATTTTAATTCTTATGTAGGAAACTCAAAACTGTAGGGCTCTGGGCAAGACAAGATTAGCTTTTTTGTTTATAAAATGGGCATGGTCAGTGAAGGATGTGGAAGAGAGGAAGCCGAAAGATTTTTAAGAGCCAGAGGGGATAGATGACTCTAGACACCAGGGGACTGAGGAACATAGGAACTCACAGACTATGGCATCATGCACAGGGACTGCACAGGTCCCAGCACTGAGAGGTGGGTGGACACCAGCTCCCATCTCTAAGAATCTGTCTCCAGTTGACAACTGCTCACAAAGGAAACATTAGCTTCTCCAATGAAGTCTCACTGGGTATACAAACCACATTTAAGGGCAGGCAGACTCTGGGTCTAGTAGTACACGGCCTATGAAAAATGAACTCAATGGTTATTTTTGGAAATATTGGACTTTTGCTTGTATACTATGGTTTCCAATTTTGTGTTTTTATGGACTTGGTGTGTTTCTTGTTCTTTTTGTTTTATTCTAGTTTGTTTATTTGCCTGCTTTTTTGTTTTGTTTTTGTATTTTTGAGACAGTGTCCCTCTACGTAGCTCTGGCTGTCCTGGAATTCACTCTGTAGACCACACTAGCTTCGATCTCACTGAGATCTGTCTGCCTCTGCCTCCCAAGTGCTGGGATTAAAGGCGTGTTTGTTTTCTAGAGAACGAGGGAAAGGAGGAATGGAATTGGAAGTGTAGCAGGTGGGGAAGATCTGGAGGAGATAAGGGAGGGGAAATCATAATCAGAATGTATTATATGAAAAACCATTTTCAATTTAAAAAATGGACATGGTATCCCCTTTCTCATCATAGCTAAATAGAAGCTTCTTCCTTATTTTATTGAGATAAAGTCTTACTGTATAGCCCTGGAAGGCATAGAATTTGCTATAAAGACCAGCCTGGAGTAGAACTCAATAGAGATGCACCTGCCTCTGTATCCTGGATGCTGCAATTAAAGAAATATGCTATGTCTGGTTTTCACTGAGCCGACTTCCCAGCTCCCAAGTGCTTTTGTCTGTTTATACTTGTGATGCTGGGGACTGAACCCAGAGCCTTGCATAGGTAAGCAAGCACTCTGTCACCGAGACACAGCCCTAGCCCTGGTACTAGGTTTTTTTTTTTTTTCACTTTACTTCTTTTATTTAAAATTTTTTATTTATTTTTGTTTTTAATTTTAAAAGTTTTAGTTTATTATTATTGTGCTTTTGAAACAGGGTCTCACTGTGTTGCCCTGGCTGGCCTGGGATTCTTTGTAGGGTAGGTGGCCTTGAACTCACAAAGAGTGCTCTAGAGTGTTGGGATTAAAGGCATGTACCATGACACTGGACCTTTATTATTATCATTTTGTATGTATGGGTGCTTTGTTTGCATGTATGTCTGTGAACCACATGTATGTAGTGCCCTCAGAAGCCAGAAGGAGCTGGAGTTACAAATGGTGAGTCATCAAATGGGTACTGGGACCTGAATGCCAAGCAGCCTCTAGCCCCAGTAATCTTTTTTGTGTGTGGTTTTTTGAGACAGGGTTTCTCTGTGTAGCCTTAGCCGTCCTGGAACTCGATTTGTAGACCGGGCTGACCTCAAATTCATAGAGATCCGGTTGCCTCTGCCTCCCAAGTGCTGGGATTAAAGGCGTGCGCCACCACCGCCCTGGCCTTTTTTTTTTTAAGTTTTTTTTTTTTTCCCCCAAGACAGGTTTCTCTGTGTACCTTTGGCTGTTCTGGAACTTACTGTTAAAATCAAGCTGACCTCAAACTTGGATCTGCCTTCCTCTGTCTCCAGAGTGCTGGGATTAGAGGTGTGCACCACCACTGCCCAGCACACAAATACCACTTTTAAAGGTTAAAACAAATCAGAAAAAAATCCCACATAGCAAAGAAATTTTAGTTACTGCTTTTTGTTTTTAGACAGGATCTTCCTGTTGTATATTTGGTTTGTGTTCTGACAAATGAAGCTTGCTGGAGATCAGAGGGCGGAGCTAGCCACTAGTTAATCATAGAGACCAGGCAGTGGTGGCACACACCTTTGATCCCAGTACTTGGTAGGAGGAAGCAGGAATCAGACAGGAATATAAGGTGGGTAGAGACAGTCTGAGGTTTCATAGATAGGATCTTGCCCCTATTGGAGATGAGCATTCAGAGAGGTTAAGAGGTGGCTGGCTGCTCTGCTTCTCTGATCTCCGGGCAAGCCTTATTTGTCAGAAGATAAACAAAATATCACACATCTTCCTGAGTAGCCCCGGCTGGACCGGAATGCCCTATCTAGACCACGGTGACCTTGAATTTGCAAAGATATTTCTGCCTCTGCTTCCTCAGTGCTGTGATTATAGACATTAGCCACCAGACCTCACACAAAGGGTTTAACTGGATATAGTTATCAAAATTTATATTAGAAATTAGGAGGAAAAAAATGTCAGGATGAAGAGATAAGCTTCCAGGCCAACCAAGAGAGGGATTATGCATGTGCATGACATCAAGATTCCACACCACATTAATGGGCTTCTAAGACTGCCACATCCAAAATGATCACAGGAAGGCTGATCTCAGATGGGGTAAGACAAGGGGTTAATTAGGAAACAACTGAGTCAGACTAGAACTTCAGTGGGCAGAGGGGCCTTGGGGACTAAGGCTGAGCTGCAATGGCCTAAGTAACTTTGAAGCCAGGAGCCTGAGGCAATTTGAGAAAGGTGCTACGATATTTCGGCACTAAGTTGATGAGAACTTCTTCCATTTCTCAAGCTGGTTCTAAACAAAGGGGTCAAGGGGCAAGACAGGTGATGCCGCGGTAAGACCACTGCTTCACTTGAGAGGGTGTATACTAAGATGCGACTTTTAACCTTTTCTTTAGCAAACAAAAAAATGCCATAAAATAAAACGCAAACTGGGCAGTGGTGGCGCACGCTTAATCCCAGTGCACAATTTTAATCCCAGCCTTCGGGGAGGCAGAGGCAGGCAAATATCTGAGTTCGAGGCCAGCCTGGTCTACATATCGAGTTCCAGAACAGCCAGGGCTTGTCTCGAAAAACAAAAAACGAGAGAGAGAGAGAGAGAGAGAGAGAGAGAGAGAGAGAGAGAGAGAGAGAGAGAGAAAGAGAGAGAGAAATAAAATGCAAGACCCGCATAGAGGCTCAAGTGTGTAATTCCAGCTATTTAAGAGACCAAGACCAGCCAGGGCTCCTCTGGAAAAAAAAAAGAAAAGTATTTCCCCGCGTCTAGGAAGGGTTTTATGGGCCCAGGCTGGCCTCAAACTCGCTACCTGCAGCATCAACTCCTAATCCTCCAGCCTCCACCTCCTGGGATTACAAGCATGGTATCAATCAATGAGTGGCAAAAAACAAACAAAACTCCTAGAACAGGACTTCCCAGTATTTCTTAGGCTTTGCTCAACTCGCAACTTCCCTGAGAAACCTACCAAATGCTGGCTCACGGTTTAAAAATCCTCACCTTTAAAACAAGATAAATTTCGAAGTGTAAATGACAGTCCCTGCTTGAGGTATTCTCTCTCCCTCACCTTCTCACCTTTAGGGTCCTCTACCACCCACCCCCACTCACCCCCGGGCAAAGAAATTTGGGGAATCCGGACCTTAATTTCAGTCAGATGGTGAGTTCCTCCAATTGACGAGGAACTACCGTTAGAGAAGAAATCTGGGAGTTATCTCGGCACAGCCTTGACACAAACCGGATGAAAGCTCGCAATGCCAGCCGCCGAAACCGCAAGGGCCTACTACGCCCGCGGGGCGAACGACCTGCAGCTTCCCGGAGCAGCCAATCAGCTTGCGGCCCCGAGCCGGCTCCCAGCACCCCCTTACGGCGGAACGCCGGAAGGACGCAGCCAATCGGCGTGCGGCCGCCAGCGCCCTCCAGCGGCCAGGGCAGAGAGGGCAGAAAAGATGCAGCCAATAGGCGTGCGGCCGCGAGGCGGCTGCCAGCGCCCTCCAGCGGCCGGAGGTGGGGAAGCGCAGGAAAGACGCAGGCAATCGGCGTGCGGCCCCCACCCCAACCCCAACCTACTCCGTGGCCAGGGGAAGGAAAAAGGACGAGAGACTGAGAGAGAGCAGGAAAGACCGCGCCAGGCCCAGGCGGGGGATCCACCCTAGGCTTTCCCCCGCTCGTTCTGTCGCTTTTGTTTCTCCTCCATGCCTGTCACCTGGAGGGTGGGATTCCTGGCGTTAAGAGTCCTCCGGGAAACCTGTGGGTGACGCTGAGCGTCTGCCTCTGGTGCGTCGGAAAAACGGCGGCTCGGGCGGCGGCACTGCCCTTTTAATGGTGGTCGCTAGCGCCGCCCTGGCATCGCCGTTTTAAGGCCGGCGGCGGCGGTGGTTCCGGGGGCGGGGCCCGCCTGCCTTTGGACTCCCGCAGCCGCCGGGCTGATTCATTCCGGGCTCGAGCGCCAAGCTCTGACGTTGGCGCCTGCGCAGGGCGCGGCCTCGCTCCCGATTGGCTGGCGCCGGGCCGCCCTCCCCCGCGCGCCACCCCTGGTTTCCCTCCCCGGGCCGCAAGAGAAACAGTGCCCTCTCCCTTCTTGACCCCTGGCCCTTCCCTCCCTCCTCCCCTCCTGCCGCCGTAGCTTCTGGCGCTGCCGCTCCCGAAGGAGCTCCCGCCACGGTGATGGGGTCTCGGGCCTCCACGTTACTGCGGGACGAAGAGCTCGAGGAGATCAAGAAGGAGACTGGCTGTGAGTTGGGGTTGGGGGGGTGGGAAGGCGGCCGGGCGCCTCCGGCTGGCCTCGGTATTGAGGGCGGTTGTCGCTGAGGTCTCGATCTGGGTGCGGTGGCTTTGTTGGGAGGGTCCCGTGCAGCCTCTGGTGTTTGGGGTAGCCGAAGGCTAGGGTACCCGGGCGTTCATCTGTAGCTTCTCGGAGCCGGGAAGTGGCTCCTCTAGGTGCTGTCTTGCCTCAGAAGCCCGGAGTCTCGGTCCAGCCACGGAGCACAGACACCACCACTCCACTCTTGCCCACGAAAGTCCGAGAATTTTCTTTCTTTACCGTGCCTCTCTTACATCCTGAACAGCAGGTAAAGCAGAAGCAAATCCAAACGTAGTACACACCAATGAGGTTTCTCGGCAAGGACCTAGAACTGCTAAAATCACACGCAAGGAAGAATAGACTCAGGAAAGAAGATCGTATAGTAAGGCTTGTGACCAGGGACTGGAGACCTCTAAGCAATCAGGAGTCCGAAAACCTGAGACTTCTAAATCTGAACTGTTGGAGAAAAAACACGGGTATAGTGACCAGGTTTTTAAAGATACAATGAGGACACTTGTCCTATTTTCATACATATTAATTTCTGCTGTGTTGCTGTATCTTATGCAGTTGATATTGAAACTGGATGTATTCCAAAATCTGTGAGCTTGTACCAGGAACAGATTTTTTTTTTTTTAAATATATACTCTGGGTTCCTCTTTATTAACCTGAACAAAGGAGCAACAGGGCTTAAGGAATTCAGACGCACTGAGAACACCACCAAACCTCTGAAAAGCCCTTGATACTGTATGACACAGTTGTGTTGCTCCCTTGCTATCTTAGTGATCCTTGTGACTTTGTTGAGTTCTTAAGCTGTGTCTTCATGGTACCTGTGTTGACGATAACGTGAGCACCAAGTAACACAGTGGCAAATAGTACTGAGGGATTGCTGGGCGAATTACAGAATGCTCCAGGAATGGAGTCCTTGGATAAATTAAAAGTTGTCCTGGCTGTCTGACAAGTTCAACTTTCTAGAGTATTCCAGTTGGGAGAGATGTTATCTAGCCCCACCTCCTACCGCATTGGTCTCCTTCCTCTACCGCAGTACCTTACTAACACATATGGCTGCCAAGCCTGGCCGAGGTCTTGAACCACGCCGACCTGCCTCCTTAACCAAGGTGATCCTTGTCACAATTTTGAGTGGATGACAGAAATTACTTAACTTTTTATAGCTTTTGTTTGGCTACTCACCTTTATGGACATTTCATGACTTATTCTGATTCCATGAGTAGAAATGGATTCAGCTGGATTCAGCAAGCATTTTACTACATTTTGTGGCCATGACCTCTGACCACACTTGTAAACATAATGACTTCTTTACATCTAAGGTGACAACCAAATTAAAGCATCTGTGTTTCAAGCACAGAGTCACATCATGAGGAAGTGTAGTGAGTTGGGACAAGCTCTTGTTTTGTTTTCTTTTGACACAAGGTCTTATTCTGTAGCCCAGACTTGCTTGGAATTTACTACATAAACCGGGCCTGGTGATGCACAGCACACCTTTAGTCCTGGCAGAAGCAGGTGGATCTCTGAGTTCAAGGCCAGCCTGGTCTACATAACATGCTCCAGAATAGCTAGGGCTACACAGGGAAACCCTGTTTTTAAAAACAAAACAAAACAGCCAGGTGATGGTGGCCTTTAATCCTAGTACCAGGGAGACAGGGGCTGGTGGATCTCTGTGAGTTGGAGGCCAGCCTGGTCTACAGAGCAAGTTCCAGGTCAGCCAGAGCTACACAGAGAAACCCTGTCTCCAAAAACAAAACAAAACAAATGAGCCCAAAAAACAAAACAAAAACAAAAAGTTTCTTTACATAGCCCAGGCTAATTTCAAACTCATGTCCGTTCCCCTGCTTCAGCTTCCTGGGTGCTAGGATTCTAAGTATAAGCCATTATGCCCAACTGGGGAAAAAGCTGTTTTTGCTTCAGAGTGAATGGAACAGTAATATCATTCCAGATTCTTTTCATAAGTCCTGGCTGTAGGGCTGAGTTCTTTTACCTTGTGACTCATGGACAAACCCAAGTAATCACAGACTTGAACTATTATCCTGATTACCCAAGAGTGATTCAAGTATGAGAAAGATTGTCACCAAAACCAGTGTATGTGTTGATTGGGAAAGCCCAACGAAACAAGTACTGAAATTTTGCAGCATCTATCTAATATTATGCTAGATATTCAGAGCAGATGGTGACAAAAGACACCCACAGCCTGGCTGGGGAGATAAGCCAGAGAGTTATGATTAGCATCAGGACATAAGGAAACTGAAATCCTGCAGCACCCACCTTCAGAATTTAGGGAAGAGTCGTGAGCTGGCCTTGTGGCGTACAGGAGTTGGATCTTGACACATAATGGATTAATTTTGGCTAAGTTAACCTAGGGTGTCCCAGCAACTGTTAGTCAGTCCTGTTGGCTACAGGGTCAGCCCTCTACCCTAAAGACCAAGCTGTGAGTTTATCTCCTTAGTACCCTTAGCAGAGGCTTGTTTCCTTTTCTTCTTCTTCTTCTTCTTTTTTTTTTTTTTACCTTTGACAGGTTCTTGTGTAGCCCAGACTGGCCTCAAATTTGAGAACCTATTGCTTTAGCCTCCCAAGTACTGGAATTACAGGTGTGTCAACTCCACAAAACACCTTTAATCCCAGTACTCGGAGGCAGAGGCAGGTGATCTCTGAGTTCAAGGCCATCCTGGTTTATAGAGTCAGTTCCAGGACAGCTTGGGTTACACAGAGAAACCCTGCTCGAAAAAACCAAAGCAGGGCAGGGGAGCCAGATGTGGAGGCAGAGGCAAGTGCATCTCCCAAGTTCCAGGCCAGCCAGGGATACAGAGTGAGACCCTGTCTCAAAAAGAAAAGAAACTTTGTTGTTATAAAACACCTACTATATTTAGCCTTTGTTCTATCACTTCTTTCACATTTCTACATTTTTATAAGTCAATACATTTGAATGAAAGATGTAATTGAAGGGAGGTCACAGTGTCTTAGAAATTTCTGTAATGACCCTTAGTTCATTTAACCATAGGAAGAGCTTGGCTGTAGATTGCGAGAAATCTTAACTTTGAGCAAAGGTTATGCCAACTAAATAGTGGTAAATACAGATTGGTTTATTTTTAGTTCCTGCCCTCAGTGTGTCGTGTGTGTGTTTGGGCAGGGTGTTGTACAGGGTTAGAAGTGAGTTGTACAGACCAGTGAGTTTTGTTTGTTGGGAAGGGTGTAGTGATGCTATGAAAGGTGTGGGTCTCCAGTTCCAGCAGAGTACAACCCTGACAGAGGCAGCTGCTTGAGAACAGTTCTGGAATGTGAGCTTCTGGGTGCTGCTGCCTCCTCCTGGGCCCCCCTGACCTCCCGCTGTCACACCACATTGATTCTGTGGGTGCCCAGGACCCTCCTGTCCGGTCTCCTATTGCATTGGAAATGCGCAGGTGATATCTTTAGCAGGTTTGGAATAATTAGTAAGGTTCCTTACCCTTTAGTTTTCTCCCAGAGTTCCAATTTCTGTCTAGAAAGGGATAAGGAGAACTGTGTGTCAGGATAGGGAACAGAGCTCTGAAGGAGTAGAACCTTATGAATGAGGAAGGGGGTTCAGAACATAGACTGTTTGGAAGTTTACATAGAAACTCACTGCCCCTAGAAGCAGCTGCAGAGATAGAAGCTGTCTTCTGGGTTTAAGCAGAAAAACATTACGCTCAAAACAGTAATACACGTGTTATAAGCAATAAACACTATTATGGAAGAGCCAGAGCAGATATCTTAGGTTATATATAGGAAAAGGCAAATGTATCATGACCTGGCCTGAATGTATCGGATTCGGAAGATGAGAATTCATACCAGATGTGGTAGCTTATTTTATGCCTGTAACCCCAGCACTAGGGAGGCTAAGATCAGAGGGTTATGAGTTCAAGACCAGAATAGACCGTATAGCAAAATTAAACTGAATAGCAAGATACTGTCCTTTTGCAGGCCAGATGGCTTCTCCGGTGAAGGTGCTTGACACCAAACCTGACGTCTCGAGTTTGGTTCCCAGGACCCACATGGTGGAAACTATGGCACGTTGTCCTCTGACCTTCACATGTGGGCTGTGGCACAAATGCATGTGGACACATGTGTGCACACATACACATAGCTATAATTTTTAAAATAAAAGGAAGGAGCTGGAGAGGTGGTTCAGCAGTTAAGAGTGCTTGCCGTTCTTACAGAGGACCCAAGTTTGCTCCCTGCACCCACATGTCAGCTCACCATTCTCTGTAACTCCCTTTTTTAGCCTCTGTTGGCACTAAGCGCACACAAGCTACACATACATACATTCTAGCAAAATAAAATAAAAAAATAAATGAAAAGAAATAAATCTTAGAGTCTCAAACAAAATCAAGAGTTCAGATTTCGTACTGTAAACTTTCAAATACACAGAAAAGTTGAAGTAAATGACCACCAATACTTGTTTTATTTACTACATTTGTTGGTATAGTTTTGCCACATTTGCTTCCTGTGTCTGTTTCCTGTTCATTAATCTGTTTATGTATTTATTTTGGTGTAAGGGACTGAACCTAGCGTCTGGCTTTTATGAATACTTGGTAGAAGGGGATGTACCCTTGAGCTCCACCTCGAGCCCTGATTTTGTTTTTGTTTTTGTTTTTGTTTGAGACAGGGTCTTCCTGTCACCCTGGCTGACCTGGAACTCACAGTACTTTACTTTACCCTTACTTTCCTGTGTTGTGTAGGAAGAGGGAAACAGTTGATAACCTCAGTACTGTCACGGTTCCTAGGAAAGTTGAGAGTGATTTTCTGTCACCTGCTGGTCAGTAATAGTAAAGGTCGCCTGTTCTGAGAAGGTGCATTTTGTCTGTTTGGTTGGGTCACTTTCTTCTTTTTTTGGGCTGGGGTTGGAAGCCATTCCGTGAGCATGCTCTGAAGTATTTCGACTGATGTCCATCCCCTGCTTGTTTTAGAAAATACCTTTTTGGTCACTTTTTGTTGTTTTTCTAGATGGGGTTTCTCTGTGTAGACCAGGCTGGCTTCGAACTCAGATTTGCCAGCCTCTGTCTCTCAGAGTGCTGGGATTAAAAGCGTGCTCCACTACCACCCAGTGGTCTCCTTTAATTCTTAAGAGAATAGGTTCGATCTTAAAGTCCTTATATTGGAGAAACGTCGGGGTTTGAAGCATTCAAAGGAAGGCTAGAGGAGCAGGCTCAGCTCTACAGCTTTCCCCAGAGGTGCTCTTGCCTGCGGTTGTACGCTTTAACCCAGGTTGTCCTATCATTAAGATAGGCTCTAAGTGATAGCAAAATAATTTCACCTATCTTTAACTTCTCACGCTTCCCCCTGCCAGTCCACATTGGTGCTTTCATGTCCGTGAACACGAGGCAGAAATGATAGGAAGCTCTGAACTCAGGGTTAACAGGGTCTTTTCATTCGTCATATAAAATAATTACCCTGCATGAGCAGGGGAGACTACAGCTACCTTCATTCAGGACATAGTCATAGTCACAGTCTATTCTAAGGGAAGTTGTTGACTCCTAAGATCTCTTTTGCGTTTCCAGGAGTGTTAAGGTTTTAGGTGCCTGTCTGGTTAGTTTAGCCACTTCAGTGAGTTTAATTTTACTGGAAACATGTCCTGCCTTTATTCCTGGCAGTTCTAGTACTTTTATGCAGGTGGATTGTGTAGCTCTTTTAAAGGTAGATGAAGCCAGTGTGGTGGTCCACGTGTGTAATATTGATGCTCTGGAAACTGAGGCAGGTTGCAAGTTTAAGGATAGCCTGTGTGAAAGAATGAGTTCACGATCAGCTCTACACTTTGGTACACACTGAAGGTTGTTTTATGTTCTTTGTCCCAGTGGACTTAGCACCCTTTTTTGTTTGTTTGTTTGTTTGTTTTTATTGTTGTTTGAGACAGGATTTCTCTGTGTATCCATTGGCTGTCCAGGAACTCCCTCTGTAGAAAGGATGGCCTCGCTCTCAAGAGATCCACAGAGATCCGCCTACCTTTGCCTCCCGAGTTAGCACCTTAATATTTACAAAGCTGTGTTTAATTTTATCATTATAACATTACATCCAAAATATAGGTGATAGGTTCAGATATGAGCATACTGAGAATGTTAATAGTTGCCATTTTCTAACGTTTTGCTGTTGATTCCCATATGGGCAAGCTTGTCTTGAAGGTAGAAGTTTCTTTTTTTTTTTTT